CCGACAAAATCCCTCGGCCTCAAATAATCATTGCTAAACTGACTACAAATAATCGTGTATAACAAGAAAATACATAACCAGAAAGACATGTAATGTAATATTACAGTCTAACTTTGCTTTGCCCAAACTCAACCTGCAAATTCACCAACACTTTATAGCACTACATAAAACACATAGTATACTTCACAGTAAAAGAAAAAAAAAAATAAAAATAAAAACTCTACAGAAACGCATCTAATTAACAAATCTACCCGACCAAAATCCGGTTCGGAAGTAGCTCGTCATCACAGGCCGTACCCTCCCACCCAACGATTTTGACGACCGAACGAGCACTCACACCGAACTTCTCCCCAACTTCCAAAAACGCCCCTCGAACCACATTTTGAACCCAAATTCCCACCCTCTCGTTCCCATACAAGTACCCACCCGCGAGAATCTGACGCATCACGTCATTTTCTATCTCAACCGAGCACTCTAACCCAACCGCACTTCTTAAACATGAATTAATCTCCTCACAAACTCTCTCAGCAAGCAAATCGAAATCGAGCCGGCCAAAAACCACCGTTCGGTCTACTAACCCCTCAAAATCCTCCTCCACCCACGAGGTCCCATAATCCGAATCGGGTTCAAAATTTCGAGACAAAATATCACATGTTTCGCCACCTTCGGCTGGAAGGTTCAGATCAAGACTAGATTTTGATGCTTTGCATCCACTTTCACGATGACCTGTTATCACGTTTTCCTCCAGAAGCTTCCTTTTGTTCGAGAAAAAGGAGTTTTGGTTCGTGGGTTCGTTGTTAAGATCGAACCCTGTCATCATCATCATCTTGATCGAACCACCCTTCGCATTCAGAATATCTTCCTCGATGAATTTATTCGAGTTTTCCTCATTACGTGCTGTATGGCTTGAACTTCCAAGAAATATACAATTGCTTATATTTACTTCTTTACCCCTTAAATCGGTTAATCTCCCCTTTTTAACGGCCTGCAAAAGGCTATTCTGAACCACTAGATCGGCCTTGTCGATGTTTTCGAGCAACACGACCGATGGATTTCTGCTTAGCTTCTCGACCAAGAAATCGATGACTGTACCCCTCATCTTTAATTCATATTTATTCGTCAATTGTTGATGAAACAGAGTTTCTACACGATTCGACCGTTTTTCGAAGCTCAGGTCGGCATATACTAGACATTCTCTGCTTCCATACAAGATTTCTGCTAGCGCCAGGCCGAGTTTCTTCTTGCCCAACCTATCGGGACCTCGGATGTGAATCCATACATTCTGAGGGCCTGCAGTTTTTCGAGGTCCGGTTATTGTTTCGACAATGGCACTTATTACAGCTTCTTGCTGAGAAATTCTATGGACAAGCAGTTTGTAGATTGACTTGGGGTCTTTTGAGTGGTGGTAAGACAAAGGTGGAAGAGAAATAATCCCCAAACCTAAATTTGTGCCTGCATTTGAAGAATTGCTTGTTCTTTTAGGTTCGGATGGGACTTCACTGGATTTACGTAAAGTATCGAGACTTTCGTCAGGCTTTGTGTACATATCGAAAGAACTAATCCCTTTTGATGAAGAACTAGACGAGGGATTCTTGTTTAGTTGGGCCTTTGCTGATCCTTTTAAGAATGTCTGACTAAAGTGATGTTTGCGGCAAACGTCGTCCCATTTCTTCCCGAGCGAGGTG